GTAGATTTTCAAGTTTTCCTCTGTCATTTGGACTCCACTGCCCTCTGTTGGTAATTACTATCAAACTTCTATTGCTGTAGCTATACATAATAAATGTGCTAAAATTTTTTATCTGAGGTTAACAGTTGACTCTTCTATACTGTATGTCATATCACATGCTACTATGCCATCACTTGAAGAGATGATGGAGATGTCATGTGCTACTTCTGCTCTGCATGTACAGTGCCTTGAAAAAGTACCGTATTTTTTGCCGTATAAGACGCACCTGACCATAAGACGCACCTAGGTTATAGAGGCAGAAAACAGGAAAAAAAAATTCTGAACTAATGGACTGCAGACACAGTACAGGTGATGACCAGAGACTGCGGACAGCACAGGGATGACCAGAGACTGCGGACAGCACAGGGATGACCAGAGACTGCGGACACAGTACAGGGGATGACCAGAGACTGCGGACACAGTACAGGGATGACCAGAGACTGCGGACAGCACAGGGATGACCAGAGACTGCGGACAGCACAGGGATGACCAGAGACTGCAGACAGCACAGGGATGACCAGAGACTGCGGACAGCACAGGGATGACCAGAGACTGCGGACACAGTACAGGGATGACCAGAGACTGCGGACAGCACAGGGATGACCAGAGACTGCGGACACAGTACAGGGATGACCAGAGACTGCGGACAGCACAGGGATGACCAGAGACTGCGGACAGCACAGGGATGACCAGAGACTGCGGACAGTACAGATGACTGCTGACCTTTGGGGAGGTGGGGAGCGGGTACCTGAATTTGACAGGTACCCGCTTTTACTTCCGCAGAGTTTTTGTTTGATCTTACCTGTTCCTCGATCCAGCCGCGCGCTGTCTTCCCCGCTTCTGTAATGGCGCTCGGCATGACAGCCGGGTGCCCAGTGCGCATGAGCGAGAAGCACTTGCGCTTTGTGATTGGTCCGGCGGCTTCTGGGATCTGTCATGTGTCCCAGGTACCGCCTTACCATTCACAAAAAGCACCGCTTCTTGCGCATGCGCACTTGGCACCCGGCTGTCATGCTCAGTGCCCACACTACAGAAGCCGGGAAGACAGCACGCCGCTGGATAGAGGAACAGGTAAGGTCCCACTGCAGAGCTGAGCGGCCGGCCTGGTATTCTGACACGGCCGCGGTGGAAATACCGGACCGGCCGCTCCATATTCGCCTTATAAGACGCACTGACATTTCCCCCCCAGTTTTGGGGAAGAAAAAGTGCGTCTTATACGGCGAAAAATACGGTATTCATACCCCTTGAAATGTTGCACATTTTGTCATGTTACAAACAAAAACATAAATGTATTTTATTGGGATTTTATGTGATAGACCAACACAAAGTGGCACATAATTGTGAAGTGGAAGGAAAATTATAAACAGTTTCCAAAATTTTTTACAAACAAATATCTGAAAAAGTGTGGCATGCATTGGTATTCAGCCCCCCTGTCAATATTTTGTACAACCACCTTTCGCTGCAATTACAGCTGCAAGTCTCTTTGGGTATGTCTCTACCAGCTTTGCACATCTAGAGAGTGACATTTCTGCCCATTCTTCTTTGCAAAATAGCTCAAGCTCTGTCAGATTAGATGGAGAGTGTCTGTGAACAGCAATTTTTAAGTCTTGTCACAGATAATCAGTTGGATTTAGGTCTGGACTTTGACTGGGCCATTCTAACACATGAATATTATTATTATTATTATACAGTATTTATAAAGCGCCAATAGTTCGCTCAGCGCTGTACATTACAAAGGGGGACAGAACATGTGACAGAACAATACCAATACAATGCAAAACATGAGGGGATCGAGGGCCCTGCTCTTTCGAGCTTACAATCTAGGAGGGAGGGGGGTGGTGGCACAGGAGGAGATAGCTGTGGGGGATGGAGTGGTAGGAAGAGTGGAGGAGGTCGGCAAGTTAGCAGGGGGTGGGGTAGGCTTCCCTAAAGAGATGGGTTTTCAGGGTGCGCCTAAAGGAGAGGAGAGTAGGTGATAATCTGATGGGTTGGGGCAGGGAGTTCCAGAGGATGGGTGACACCCTGGAGAAGTCCTGGAGGTGGGCATGGGAGGAGGAGACCAGGGAACTAGAGAGAAGGAGGTCTTGTGAGGAGCGGAGTGTGCGTGCTGGGCGGTACTTGGATATTAGGTCAGTGATGTAGTTCGGGGCAGTATGGTGGACAGCTTTGTACGTCAGCGTTAGGATTTTGAATTTGATCCGTTGCGCAATCGGAAGCCATATGCTTTGATCTAAACCATTCCATTGTAGCTCTGGCTGTATGTTTAGGGTCATTGTCCTGCTGGAAGGTGAACCTCTTTTGCAGACTCTAGGTTTTCTTCTAAGATTGCCCTGTATTTGGCTCCATCCATCTTCCCATCAACTCTAACCAGCTTCCCTGTCCCTGCTGAAGAAAAGCATCCCCACAACATGATGCTGCCACCACCATGTTTCACGGTGGGGATGGTGTGTTCAGGGTGAAGTGCAGTATTTTTTTTCTGCCCCACGAGGCATTTTGCTTGTAGGCCAAAAAGTAAAATTTTGGTGTCATCTGACCAGAGCACCTTCTTCCACATGTTTGCTGTGTCCTCCACATATTTTCTCACAAACTGCAAACAGGACTTCCTATGGCTTTCTTTCAACAATGGCTTTCTTCTTGAAACTCTTCCATAAAGGCCAGATTTGTGGAGTATAGTTGTCCTGTGGACAGGTTCTCCCACCTGAGCTGTGGATCTCTGCAGATCATCCAGAGTTACCATGGGCCTCTTGGCTGCTTCTCTGATTAATGCTCTCCTTTCCCGACCTGTCAGCAGAGGCGAGGCTAGGATGTTTTGCACCTGGGGACAAATGGCCACCTCATGACACCCCCCCCCGCTTCATATGGTCCCTGTAGACACCCCCCCTGTCCCGATCACATTGCCCCCCCCCCTTCATCTATGGCACTACTCACCCAGCTCGGCTCTCCCCTCGTCCCCTCCGGCACATGTCCGGGTCACTGCCCTCCTCTCCACTCCTCTCCCGGCCAACTCCTCTCTCCTCTCATAACTCACTGTGGATGGCAGACGTATCAGATGACACGTCTGCTGCAGCCGCTGCAGTGATCTTGTGACCTCATTTTGGTGCTCCTGTGCCTTGGCGCCCGAGTACATATGTACCCCCCTGCCCCCCCCCCCCCCAGCTATGCCTCTGCATGTCAGTTTCGGTGGACAGCCATGTTTTGGTAGGTTTGCAGTTGTGCCATACTCTTTCGATTTTCGGATGATGGATTGAACAGTGCTCCATGAGATGTTCAAAGCTTGGGATATTTTTTATAACCTAACCCTGCTTTAAACTTCTCCACAACTTTATCCCTGATCTGTCTGTTATGTTCCTTGGCCTTCATGATGCTGTTTGTTCACTAATGTTCTCTATCAAACCTCAAGCTTCACAGAACAGCTGTATTTATACTGAGATTAAATTACACACAGGTGGACTCTATTTACTAATTAGGTGACTTCTGAAGGCAATTGGTTCCACTAGATTTTGGTTAGGGGTAGCAGAGTAAAGGAGGCGGTATACAAATGCACGCCACACTTTTCAGATATTTGTAAAAAAATTTGAAAACCATTTATCATTTTCCACTTCACAATTATGTGCCACTTTGTGTTGGTCTATCACAAAAAAACCCAATAAAATACATTTACGTTTTTGGTTGTAACATGACAAAATGTGGAAAATTTCAAAGGGTATGAATACTTTTTCAAGGCACTGTAGTTGATCACTGCCATTCTTTGTAGAGGAGCTGGTGGTTCTTACAGGAGATCAGGAATAAGAAGAAACAGTAACATTTGGGTCTAACCACACAATCTACGCACAATCAACTGTAGATTTTCCAAAAACTATGTAATATAAAGAACTTCCTAAACTAGTCACTTTGTGCCCAATCAGACAAGCCCATGAACTACATAGTTGTTTGTCGGTCTAAAGGAGATTGTACAATCAGATTGTGCCATATATGGGGAACTTTATGGATATTGAAACCTGCCCTTTAGTCATCTTTTACTATCCATGCATCAGCCCAGTCTGTATAAATACATTTACAGTCATGGCCAAAAATATTGGCACCCCTGCATTTCTATAAGATAATGCACCACGTCGCACAGAAAATTGTTGCAATTACAAATATTTAGGCATTCTCATTTTTTATTTCTTTTGTTTGTATTGGTATGACACAAAAAAGTAGAGAAACAAAAAGCTAAATGTGACACATTCCACGCAAAACTCCCATAAATGGACTGGACAAAATTATTGGCACCCTCAATTTAAGTCAGGAGCCAGGACCGTCAGCGGGGGACTAAAAAAGAAGAGGATTGGGGCTGCTCTGTCCAAAAACATTGCACAGAACAGATAGGTATAACATGTTTGTGATTTAAAAAAAAAATGACAACCTTTACAATCACTTGCATTACCCTACCCCGTATACTTTATTCCTTCAACATTTACAGACAGGCCAGCACTTCTATTGATTATTGTTTTGCTACATTTTGCTAAACAGCTGTAAGTACTGTCTCTTTAAACATTTTATAAGCATTTATAACACAACATAAGATGAAGTTGCTGAATATAAAAAGACAGTGGGTGATTCCATCTGCCAATCTCCACCCATTATTAATAAATCACTCTTGCGTGGACTACACTTCTGGTAGAGTGGAATTTATTATGATCTAAATCTCAGGTAAAGATGTACTCCACCAAAATGTTTGCAGTCTGAAATTAGAATAAAAAAAATAACACTAATAGCATGAGGAGTGTGTAATACCTGGTACCTTTTCCAGGCACAGAATTTTATCACTGAAATTAGTGTGTTAGTTTAAATTGATTAGCAAGGCATGCAAAACACTGTTTCTTTTTGGCCTGAGATATAAAAAATATACAATTCTGCAGTGCAGAAGGTTGTAAGGTATACACAAATAGTTACATTTTTATTTCTTTTTTTTTTAATAGAGCAACACTTCCTAACAGAGCTAAATGAACTAGGACTCCTATCATTAACCCCCTCAAGGACTGTGGAAGGCAAAAGAATAACATCCTACGATGACAGGTAACAGCAGTGTCACATGAACATGTCAATCTTGTAAATAAATCCTGTTTGGTACCATTTCATTCCAGATGACTAGCTCTTGATTCGCTTTCCCTGACGTCAAATAAGCTGGATCTGCTGTATAATGAAAGTAATGCCTGCTATTCAATAACTGAATTCAATAGGTTTTGGAGGTTATTATCAATGATTAGGACATATAAAGTCCTGTCCAGGGGCAGACTGACCATTTGAGCACTCGGGCACTGCCCAAGGGCCCGTGGTCAGTAGGGGGCCCCATGAAATGCCCCTGGTACCTTTTCTATAGGCTTTTTTGAGTATGGGCAAGGACACAGGGGCCCCATGATCCCTTATTGCCCCGGGGCCCCATGAGTTATCAGTACGCCCCTGGTCCTGTCCTTTTGGCACACTGGAAATTTCCAAGCAACAGCTCACTGTTTTTGACTTTCAGTAAGAACATGGATTTGTTATTTACAGCTAGATTTAGTAGTTGGATTATTTCTTAAACTAAGTGTTTAAAGTAGATGGGTAATGTAATGCTGAGCAAAAGTGCAAAGAAAATATGACACTGTAAAGATAATATGCATAATCTGAGTCCTAACACTTCCTGGTCACAAAAAGCCCAACCAGTTTAATCTGTTAGAGGGGATTTTCACAGACATCATTCTCCCAAGGTGCACCTTGGAGTGCTGGGGACACAGTTTGTTTTCTTTTTATTCATCTTAAAACTATAACTTTTTTCTATATATTATGTACTTATTAACTCACATTAAAATAAGGAAACCTTGTTTGTATCAAGATAATTGCTATAATTCAATGAAGGGCCCAAGCCCTTGGATATGTGGATATGTGGACATTGGATATGTGGATCACCACTTGCAGCTCTTTAATGTTACTTATTGAGCCCAGAAAACCTTATGGAGGCTCACCTGGCCAAACAGTGCCTGCATCCAACCAATTGTGTTAGCATGGATGGAGGAATTTGTTAGATTTCTTTTGTCCAGCAAGCAGGTTGAGCAAGGTAGAGGTAAGTATAGTGCTAACATTTGGGCCTGAACCCTTTTAACTGCAACTTAAAGACAACCCCCCCCCCCCCCCTGTCTTGGAGCTCTTCCCACAACTATCGCCTCCAGTCTCCTCCTGCTACATGTTGGCTCATAGAAGTATATGAAGTAATATGATCATTCAGAGAGCCCGAGATGCAGGATGCAGTAGCCAGAGGAGTGCTGGAACATAGATGCCGCAGAGCATAGTAGCAGGAAACTGGTGATAGTAACATGTACACTACACTTATCTTCCATGTGTTTGTTGATTAACTTTTTCTAGGGTATTGAAACTGAGTCAGATGTATTTTCCAGTAACATTTTGTTTGTCTAACTCAACACAGGTTCTTGCTGCAGCTGGCCGAAAGTACAGCTGGGGTCATAGTCACAAATGATCATTTAAGGGACATATCTGCAGAATCTCAAGCTTGGCACAATATAATAAAGTACAGGTGCATATACATACAATTAAAAGTACTAATCTCTCTAATATGGTAAACCTTTTATAACTATTATGTTTATCCTTGTCTTTGGGGAATACTACAGAGTGCTGCAATTCACCTTTGTTGGTGACATATTTATGGTACCAGATGACCCTTTGGGGAGAAATGGGCCACCGCTAGACAAGTTCCTGACCAAGAACTCGTTACCCAAGTAAGTCCCATTGAACAAAATTATTGATAATATTTCTCTTTTTATATATTCTGCTTAACACTGTCCTGTTTTAATTCAGAATCAAGACAAAAGGTCACTCGTTTGCTGGCAGAAAATCTCCTCACACTTCCCAAAGTCCACCAAGGCCATCCGCTCAGACAGAGGTCCTCAACTTCAGAGACAGAAAACCAGGTGGACATAAGGGTAAAGAAGAGCCAGAACTACGCTCCCACAGAGAGACTGAGAGACTAAGAAATGAGCTTCTAAGTATCTTTCCCCACCAAGATACCAAAGTGGACTTTGTCCTTCGCAGGGAACCATGTCTCGATGATCTCAACAAGCTCTCTGAACTCATAATTAACCTCAAGTTTTGATCTGTAAGAAGCTGCAAAAGAGAAACACATGTATTATCAGAGACTGCATAAACCACAGGCTGGTGTCTATGCATATTGTTTATGTAATGCTGAACACAAACTCTTTTAGAGTATTTAATATTTAAATGCAATTATTTACAGCTTTGTTTTTTTAAGAACAATATTTTTAAAGATGTATGTATATGTTGCATTATTTGGATTTTGTAAATGCTTTGTGTTGATAAAATGTAATCTCTTTTATCGCTGCTTGGCTTTTACACTGCTTGAATGTAATATAATGACATATGATATTACATATGAATGTAATATGAAATGACAAGTTAAAGTTATTTTTTTTTCAACTTCTATTCTGTATTGAATCATCCACAACATTTTGTAAAGGAAGTAAACGTGAGGATCCTTACTGGTCATTGTTCGTACAAACAGCCCAGCAAGAAGACAGCTGTATTTAAAGTAGGGTTCCGCTTGCATTCGTGGTCAGTCTTCTGTTTGAGCACAGCTGCAGAGGATATATATGTCAAGCACTGCTAATTTATAATATTTTAAGGGTTTTAGTTCACCACCATAAACTGTAATGTTGTGTAAATATATGTATTTCGATAAAGGCTTATTGAATTCAAAATAAAAATACATTTTTAAGTTGTCGGTTTTATACCTGATTCTGGCAGTCTGTTTTCAGGTTACATACCTGAAGAGACACATCTTCACATCAGATAAATCTGTCAACTCTGATGTGTTGGCACATGCAACATATTCCCTATGCACATTTAAGGAAACCAAGATCGTTGTGAATGAATGGCCAAGGTCAGTGCTGTAAAAAGTGCAAGGATGCAGCTCTGGTCAGGAAATTTCCTGTTCTGAAGGAATCCAAATGTAGTGCTACCCTCTTCAGGGCCACTGAGTTTCTGGGTCCCTCTAAGCTCTGCACAGCAAGGCAACATGCATTTTCCACAGTTTCATCCAAAGTCTGTAAAATATTCCTTGAGCTTGGTTTTTATTGTTTTCTTAGGGGGTTTAACTTGAATGGGGTCTAGGTGTATATGGGATGCCCAATGGAACTGTACAACTTTTGAGAACAAGCATCTTAGCAAAAGGACACAAATCAGCAGCACACAGTCTTTGCAAGGAGCACTTGGTCCCCTTAGTGAACCTCCTCAGACCCCAGATGAAAATCTCCTCATCCACCTGGGTGGCTTGAGAGTGTCCCTGAGCAAGGGATTCCGAGACGTACAAATTAAGTAGTCCCAGGGAGAACTAGTTGGGCATTGCACCTGACCGTCCTCTCCCTTCTTTGGCCCAGGAGGTGTAGAAGTACTCGCACTGTCCTATTCCTGTAGCTTAATGGGTTGCAGCTGCTTTCAGGCCTTTTGCTGGGATGGCTCCTTCCCTACTGACTGTCTTTTGTAGGTAGACTGTGGGATAGTGGAGGTCCTTCTGTCCAGCTTCAGCCTGTAGGCAGCCTCACCCCCCTCCTCTGGGGCTCCCTCCCAGGCTCTACGCCAGCAGCACCTTCCTCACTCCATCTTCCACCTGACTCCAAGAACAGCTCTCTGCTGATCAGCCTCTCATATTTAAGGGTTGTCCTAGCCACCATGCCTGGGGATTGGCTACGTTTCCTCAAACATGCAAATCCAGGCCTCCTCCCCTCTTCTAGAAAATGCTAGAAGTTTCTAGAAGGGTGGAAGGGCTCCTGAAGCCCTGACCTGTAGAGCCTCCCAGTCTAACCTGAAGTGACCTCACGGTCTCACTCCCAGGCTGACTTATACCCAGGCGTCTAGCAAGCCTCTAACTAATCACAAAAATGCTACCTAAACTAGAGGGCGCTAAACAAGTACTTTGATTTATTGACTAAAACATATGCTTTTTCTGAGAGAAATCAGAATGAGCATGGGCTCAGCATGTGTGTGGCATTGTCTTACTTAGCCTAGGGCATGGGTGTCCAACCTCTGGCCCTCCAGCTGTTGTGGAACTACAAGACCCATGTGGGATTGCAAGGCTGACAGTTGCAAGCATGCCTCCCAAAGTTGGTTCTAGTAGTTCTGCAACAACTGGAGGGCAGCAGGTTGGACACTCATGGCCCCAGGGAATAGGATTCTATGCACTACCCTTCTGAAGGTCAGGGATTTTCAAGAGAGAAAAACTGGGTGACTGCTATTTTGCTTTTATTCAGCAAATGTTTACAGAATGTAAACGATAAAGAAACCAGAAAAAAATTAGAATGAAAATAAGAGAAGGGGAAATTTGGTCTAACTATGCTTAAAATTGCTGCCACACCATTCTAACTCCCATCCTAACTACCCTGTAAAAGGAAGATGCTATAATTGCCTTTCCTCAGGGAGCTTTGGTCCGATTATGTGATCTCCCCAGCGGCAGCTTCGGGGGAGAGAAGAGAGTGCTAACAATTGCTGAAATGCCTGGGCGGTGATGTCAACCATAGGTGTGGGCCCCGTCCACATGGTCGCATCATTCATTCACAGAGTTCTGTGAATGAATGAACTGCAAGCTCTGACAGCCTTAGTGGCTGTCAAAGTGTAATTCTCAGTGAACTACCACGGCGCTATGGAGTGCCGTGGTAGTTCATTGCTTCATCCTGTCTGTATATTTTCTACCCCGTATATCCTGTAGGGTAAGCAGATGTACTGACAGATCTGCAGGTGCAATGGTTTACAGGCTCCTGCAACCAAAAATAATAAATGCACATTTTTTTACCAGGAAAAAAACGTGCATTTATTTATTTTTGGTCAAAAGGTGAACTTATCCTTTAACCTTAGTTAGATCTAGCCCATACTTTAACTTTCTAAGCAAAAAGAGGCTTGAAAAGCTTTTGTGTTTAACCTGTCCTGGAGGTAACAAGTGATGAATATGTAGCGCTAGCCCCACAGGAACTACTTGGTAATTTGGGTTCTCTGTTCTGCACCTCAACTCCAAAAACCACCTCATCCCCTCTGACACACCAGGTTGAATGAAAGTTACTGCGGGCATTTATAGGAACATGAGTATATATACTTTAACTTGGCTGTGAATTAACACCAAGAAATAGTCAGAAGGCAGTAAAGTGGAAAGTGAACTCGATGTAATGGTACAGCACAAAATATATGGTGGTTTGAGCATAAATGAGCACACAGAAGGTAGGTTGAGACACAATCCACTAGAAAGTATATACACTATGCCAAGGTAACGTAGAATAGAGTTCTGTACCAATAGACTGGAATTAACTCATGAATCAGCAATAAAAAGTGCATATAAGCATTAGCTGCAATCTAAATCCTCTGGGATATTATAACTAGTTCAAAGTGCACGGCTTGGATATAGTGCAATGTGCCGTGAGAGGTACCTCTTAGCATAGGCGATAAGTAAAGGTTTCTGTTGAGCAGCTGTAAAGGGGCAGTCCTTAGACCTAAGTTTTCATCCAGCCAGTGTTGGGGTCCAGTTGTACCGTTGTCGCCCTCAAAAATAGCAATAAGGTTACTGGATGGCTGTATGATCAGTTCCTAAAGGGCTCAGTCTCTCTAGCTAATTCCCACAGCTCACCAGCCCCAACGATATTGCAGCTCACTATCCAGTCACACACAGTGATTAGTCTGTTCTCTGCTCTGTTCCAAGGTGACTCTGTCAGCATCCCTGAACTCAGCACTCCGGGTCCTGCTCAGGCTGCCAATATGCAATAGTGATGGTGCACACTGGACAGCGATGTGCACTCTCTGGTCTCATGGCAAGAGAGAGTTATGTCCTGTACAGTCTGGGAAAATGCAGCTCTTTCCCCTCCTCCTGGTAATCTTTCTCTCTAGGGAATGTAGTTCAAAAGCTCTTGATTACAGTAGAGTATCTCTCCTCTAGACTACAGTTCCCACAGTGCAGTGCTGCCTGACTCAGTCTATTCAACTCTTCCTGCTCAGCAGATCCCACATCTCATTAATACAGCTCTTAACTAGTTCAGCACCGCAGGACAGCAGCTACAGAGAGCAGCTGCAGCCAGTGTTTCAATTTCCATTCTTAGCTAAGCACCTGGTTACAAATATAATTTAAGTGATATTTTACTTCAGTTTGCACAGGTACAAATGAAGCTTTATATAGGCAGAAATGAATGCTCTCCTGCACTACCAAAACTTCTCAATAAATTAATGACACTGGTGTATAGTAAGGTGTGTAAATCCTAAATTGTAGATAAATACACTGCTCAAAAAAGTTAAAGGAACACTTTTTAATCAGTATAGCATCAAGTCAATTAAACTCCTGATGGGATAATGAGCTGGTCAGTTAAATAGTAGAGGAGGTTGTTAATTAGTTTCAGTTGCTTTGATGTTAGTGAAATTAACAACAGGTACACTAGATGAGCATTAATGAGACAACCCCCAAAACAGGAATGGTTTTACAGATGGAGGCCACTGACATTTTTTTCCCCTACTCATCTTTTTCTGATTGTTTTTCACTAGTTTTGCATCTGGCTAGGGTCAGTGTCACTACTGGTAGCATGAGGCAATACCTGGACCCTACAGAGCATGGAGGAGATTCCATGAGACAGGCAGTTACTCTAGGAGAGCTGGACAGGGCTGTAGAAGGTGCTTAACCCATCAGCAGGACCAGTATCTGCTCCTTTGTGCAAGGAAGAACAGGATGAGCGCTGCCAGAG